AGGCTGCGGGTCCTGTTCGTTCGCACTGCAGACGTGGGGCGTTTTGACAGCGGGTCCTGTTTCTGAGCCTCCCCCGCGGCAGGAACCAGCTGTCACAGGTGGAGGCATGGGATTGTCTCTGGACGTCCCCTCGCCCGCCTCTCTCCGCCTTGCTTAGCCGGGGCCCTTCGTCTCGTGGCCGCTCAGAAAAGAAAGGGAGGCATGAGGTGGGACACTGGCCAAAGCCGCTGCCAACCTGCCACGTTCATTCGCCCAGCGGCAGCTACTCTGTGGGTTCATGGGTGGACCCTCTTGGAGGATGGGGGGCTTGGGGGGTGGGGGCGGAAGTGTGCAGAGATCAGCAACCCTCAGCTGCAGTTCTTTCGGAGTGGAGATGAGGGTGTTCATTCCCAAGTCCTCTTGTGTCTCTGGGGCAGACAGGGGCCCCCCGCCTGCCTGCTAGCTCTTTGCCCAGGCGAGCGCCCCGGGAGCAAGGTGGGCGTCTGGCCCGCCAGTGACTCCTCCATGGTGCCTTCACACACGGGGCCTGCGCGCAGGGGCAGGGACAGGCCGCCTACTCTGAGCCCAGCTCCCTCCTTGGCACCTCTCAGGCCCTGGGCAAGTCACTCACCAGGTGTTGGAGGAATCACATGACTTCTTTGAGCCTCAGTTTTGCTGTGTGTGCGTGTGCTGTGTATGTTAGAAAACTGGTATATTTGAAAGGCTTTTGAATGCCAAGAGACTTGGCTCCTTTTTCTTGCCTCGAGAAGGAACACAAAGAAGCCTGTAGTTCATTCTTCCCCACAAAACCGCCCCCTCCATCTCGTGCAGACCACACTGGAATTCCAACTCCGGAGCCCTCGGGTGGAGGCCGACTTCTCTCTCTCCCCGCAGCCACGCCTTGAGCGCAGGTGGAAAGGATCGGTCTGGCTGTGCCAGCAGGCCTCCCCACGGGATTCGGCACTTCTGCTGGGATTCTGGTCGCTTCCACTGAACCAAGTGGGAGAGTGACAAGGACTTGTGCCCTGGGAGCAGTGCGGCCTGGGCTCCTCTGGGTGCACCGACCCCCACTTGGTGCCAGTGTGTGGGCCTGAGGGGTGGGGCGGCCCCCCAGCCTCCGCTCATTCAGCCCCAAACCCAGGCACCAGAGCGGCTGAGAAAATGTCAAGCTCGGCGTCTCCGGAGGGTTCTGTCTCCTCCTCACCTTCCTCTCGCTTCCTTCCCTATCATCCCGTCATTTCAACCAAGGAGAGAAGATAATTCGCCCCTTTGGCAGCAGAGCCTAAAACCCTTCGCAGTCGCCGTTCAGGGCTGCAGCGGGTCTGGTCGGGGCGGGGGCGGGTGCGCCACACCCCCGAGGGAAGCAGCCCCAGACGCAGGCGGGGCCACACCCGGCTGCTGGCCGCCTTCAGGCCTGTGTGCAAACGCGGTTTGCGTGCCCAGGCTTGTTTGTGAGGGCTGGCATAATTGCCTTGCCCGGCTCAACACCTCGGCGCCCTCCCCCCAACTCCTCCCCTCGCCCCTCCCACCCACATGCACCTCGAAAGAAATGAGAAACGTGACAGCAAACTCCAGTTGCCCCAAACCTGCCAACCCCGCCGCCCGCCATGCGCACTCTGTGGCGGAGGGGTGGGCCGCGGCGTGGGGGAGTAATTGGTGAACCCAAGGTGAATGAAATAATTGGAAAAGTGAGGTGTGAGTTCGTTACTGAAGTGTGAGCGTGGTGGGGGAGGGAAGGAGGGCCATGTTTAAAAGCCCGGTATGTCCCTTTTATTCACAGCTTCTGATACAGTAATTGCTATTTTGTGGTTTCTATTATCTACACAGTGGGGAGCGCAGTGTCTCCTTCCCCAAGCGGCAGAGCCTGGGCTCGGGGAGGAGCGGCTGGTGCCCGGTGATTTTCTTCCCCCCTGGGCCCTGGTGGCCCTGCCCGGCCTCACCCAGGTGGTGGCCTCTGCTCCTGGGGGACGAGGGTTCACGCACAACTTCCTTCCAAAGCCACTCTTAAAAATGGCTCCGTGGACTTGGTTGTCAGATAAGAACCTTAATAATGGCTGGTATTTATATATCGCTTATCTCCAAGGAGCTAAAGGTACTTCATCGATTTTTTTTTTCTCCCCCAACCCGTTTTGGTTTTTTTTTTACCATTTTAATTCTCTTCTGCTATCTCTCTGAGATCACCAGTATCAATCAGCCTTATGTTATCGCACACGGTTATGTGGGACCCGCGGCCCCCCGCTTGCCTGGCACTGGTCCTGAGGCGGGAGGGAAGCGTCGTCTGGGTTTGCGTCCCAGGCCGTGGGGCCTGCACAGGTCACGCCACCTCTCTGGCCCTTGGTTTTCTCATCTGCAAAAACAGGTTGTATCACTACTGCCCCCTGGTCCTCGCCCCCGGAAGCAGTGTATTTAAAAGCCCTAGCCCATCGCTGGTGCCCAGGGCGGCGGCGGCAGCGACAGCGTCTAGAAGTCGCAGCTCTTCGTCTCAGGGCTTCACAGCACCAAGCAGCTCTTTGTGAGGTCTAACCCGAGTCTCCCGGCGGCTCCTGGGCCCCAGCTCACCCGTCCTCTTCTCAGACGGGAGGGAAACCAGCGCACCACCCCCACCTTCCTGATTTCCTGAAGGATAATGGGATGCAGGGAGCTGCTGGGGCCCTGGGACGCAGAGTGCTGTTTGCCCTGCAGATACACCTGCCTGGCAACCCCGGGCAGCGGCTGTGCGCCCCCCCCACCCCCCTCGAGCCCCCAGCCGCCTGGGACAGGGGCCCAGTACCCTGATCCCTGCCCACGCGCCCTCGTGACGGCTCCCACCGCCACGCTCTCAGGTGCCACTTCTCCAGGCCACGCAAGCACGGCTCCTTCAGCCCCTCCTCATCAGCCTTTTTCTCCACCTTTTAATTATTTTCCTCGCCTTTCTCTGGACCCTTAGCTGCTTACCATGCACAGAGCATCCACAGCTTGCCGTGTGCTGCGGGGGGGCGGAATTAACCTCCCCGTGTCTCGCTCTCCCCACCCTCCCCTTCCCCCCTCTTTCGTTCTTCCTCTCTCTCTCTCCCTCTCACGTGCACGCACGCACACACAGGCTGGCTCACCAAAAATTGCAGAGGGCCAAGAAGACGTCTGGGCAGCGGCCTCTGAGGCCATCAGGGGACAGGATCGCACACCCTGTGGTCAGAGGCCGGAGGTCTGCATATGGCGCGTGTGGAAGGAGCCAGGATTTGGTCGGCCTCCCTTGCCCTGGGGTCTTGGGCAAGTCACTGGACCCCTCGGAGGATCAGTCAGGTTGTGGCTTGCCACCCTGTCCCTGAAAGCAGCCAGGGCAAGCAGTGGTGAAGCAGAGGACCAAGGGAACCCGGGGCCGGGGTGGGAAACCAACACACCCGGAGGCTGGCTGTGACGGCGCCTACACAGGGCCTGGCGTGGCCCGGGCGCGCATGAGGCCTCGCCCAGGCCTTCCCATGCCCGCCAGCCTTCTCACACTCGGTCTGGACGCTCACAGGCACCCATCCTCAAGGCCGTGGGATGCACCATCCCTGCGGTCCCTGTGTCTGAAGAACTTGGAGCCAAAGGACCATTTGTCTGAAGGCACCTGCCAGGGACCTTCACCATCACCTGCCCTCCCGGCCCAGGGCCCGCGCTGGCAGAGGCGCAGGGGCTCCTTGGAGCAGGGGAGGCAGCATGCCTGTCGTGGGCGCGGCCGCCTTTAGGTGGCAGAAGAAAGCAGGGTTTGCCGTCTGGACTCCTCGGCTCTCTCACGTCACCTCTTGCCATGTCCCCACCTGCCCAGCTTCTGTGCCCCAACCCGCCCCCTCCACATGGGCCAGGACGACTGACAGGGCTCCACTGCCTGTCCCTTCCAGCCCCTCCCCTGTCCGGGAGGCCGGCCCTGTCACCAACAGCCCAGTTTCTGTTGCCTGCTCAGAGAGGCACCGGGAGGGGGAGCAGAGCCGCAGGCAGAGCTCCGCAGAGACGTGCAGACTCATTTTGAGGACTCATAATGCCGCATTTACACACTGTCCTGACTTCAGAAATTGGGCCGGCAGATGCCTGGTCATGCTGGCAGGGCCGCGGGTTAACACCTCGGATTGAGCTTCTATCATTTCATGAGAGCAGACGGCCTTCACTGTGGTTTTTACCCAATCGGTCTTTGGCCCCGGAGCATCCTGGACCATCGTGTGCTTGTGTGTGCGCCCAGGCACCCGCGAGTGTGTGTGTCGATTTTCAAATGAAATAATACCTCTCCTCAGATGCCGGGCACATTAAATATTTATCAGCAGCAGTTTGCACGTATATATTTGATAAATGGACGTTAGCATGGGGTTGGGGCGTGCGAGAGTCTAGAGAGAGCGTAGGCCTGATCCTTTTGTCCAGGAATTCCCTAGGGTTTGCGTGGGAGGAGAGGGGGTGCTGGGGGGTGTGGGGCGCCCCAGCCATGTTTACCTGTTTGATCCCTGTTGGGGAGCCAAGCCATTTGCTTCTCCAGCGCTTTGCCTTACTTAGTTAGGCTTAGCAGATACGAAAACAGAAGTGTAGAGAGAGGGGAAGCGAGGTTGGGAGGGAGTCGCTGTGTGACATTCGGGCGTCTTGCGCTGAAGACACACGTCCCAGGAACATATCCCAGGACCTGGGCTTGTTCAGTGCCAAGCTCCTCCTTGCGGGGAGACCCCCAACCCCACATGCTGAGCTCCGGCTGGCACACCAGCAGCCCTCAACCCCCCCCCCCCCCCCCAAAAACCTGGCCACGCATACACAGGCCAGGGGCAAGCATGCTGGCCTGTCAGAGAGGAGCCGGACGTTCTCCGTCAGGGTCTGCAGCCTGTGCATTCCCCCACGCCCAGCATGGCGGTGGCGGCCTGGAGCACGTGCTGGCCGGCCGGGCGCTGGCACAGGGTGCGTGCACGTGCGCATCTGTCAGTGCGTCTCTCTCTCCTGACGGGCAGGACCGACCCCAGCAGTCCCAGCCTGGCCCCATCCCCTTAGCAGGCCTCTATTCTGAAACTCCCGTGTTTGCCTTCTGTCCCTAGCACCTTTGGGGAACTGAAGACCGTCCGCTTGCCAAAGAAGATGACTGGCACAGGCTCGCACAGAGGGTTCGGCTTCGTGGACTTCCTCACCAAGCAGGACGCAAAGGTGAGACAGTGGCCCCCGCCAACTGGCCTCGCCTTTCTGGGCTTCTTGTAAGAGAAACAGCAAAGCTTGGTGGTTTTTCTCTTGTTGTTGTTGTTGTCGCCCTAGCCCCGGAAGGAAAGACCCGGGGTTTTGTGTCTTGCGGAAGGGGCAGTGTGTGCCCCCTGCCCCGTCCCCCGCATCCTACACGCAGGGACCTGCGATACAAAATGGGGGAGTGAGTGGGTTTCCCAGGCCTCTCCAGGCCAGACCTGGGGCCTGAGCCGCACACCCCTCTCCCCCGAAGAGTGGGCAGCAGGGAGATGCTGTGCAGAGCACAGAGGGCACCTAGGGACAGCTCTTGACATGGAAACTCCAGGGGACCCAAGTGGGGACCCGCGGGGACACAGATTTCCCTTCCCCCTGGTGGCTGGGGCTTCAGTTTTGAGCTGGTTGCAACCCAGGCAGGTGCTTCTGTGCCCAGAAGTCAGGCTCCGTGGAGATGTAGGGCGCCCTTTGCGTTTTAGGCGCAGCGGCCTCTGGACTCGGGTGTCGTGTAGCCTGTGGAGCTTCGTGCTCGCGGTGGGAATGGGTGGCGTGCCCGCCCAGCCGAGCAGCAGGTGGGGGGAAGAGGCTGTGACGGGGGTCCTGGCTTCACCCGCGGTTCCTGCCCTGGCGACACCACATCAGAACCCCCGGGGGGGGGGGGGGCAGCCGCGCTGCTGTCATCTGTCACCGCGAGTCCCCTCCCAGAACCTGTGCCCTCAGGTGGCATTGCTCCTCTAGGCCTCGTGTTTTCTTGGGGACACAATAAAGCCACACGCAGGTCTCACTAATCGCTGGGAATCCTCCGCCTCCAAGAAACATCGACCTTTAGCAAATTGGCCTTGCCAGAGGCCCAGTGGGGAGAGCCAGGGGTAACATCTCAGGGACACAGCTGCGGCCTTTGTGGGCCCTGGGAACACGCGCAGGCAGAGAGGGCTCCCCGGGACCTCAGGGAGCCTTGCCAACCACCTTTGTCTCGACGTCTTGAGCTCAAGTGCCTGTTTTGTCGACACGTGGCCATGTTTGTCCAGACATCTGCTCCTCTTTCTTCTTGGCTGACAGCCTTTCCCTCGCCTCCCACAGTGGGGGCGGGGGCGGCACCCCCTGCATGCTCACGTCAGCTCGGGGGCCCAGGGACAGCCGTGCAGAGCACTAGCTGTGACCGCTGACAGCTCAGCTTTCCTAGCCCTGCGCCTCAGTTTCCCCATCTGTCAGAGGAATGCCTAACAGGTCCCCCATCACAGGGGGAGGGCAGATGGTGCCCAGGAAACCTGGCATCGGGCCTGGCACACAGGTGAGCTGTTTCCTCCGCGTCTCCACCAGCCCGGGTCCTTTTGGAGCTGGCCAGCCTTTCTCCCATGGACGGAGAGGGGAACGAAGGGCCAGTGTGGGGGCCACGTGCTCCGCAGCCACACTGCCCGAGTCGGGATCCCAGCACTGCCACGGACCTGCCCTGAGACCTCGGGCCCGTCCTTATGAAGGGGTAATAAATAGGGTTTTCCTCGCCCGGCTGTGAGATGTGGATGAGGCGATGCTTTTTGAAGCACACCAGGCCCTCCTGAGCAGAGGCTGTTAGCTCTGAGGAGGAGGACAGTGACCGCGGTGACAACGGTGACTATCTGAACAGAGGAAGGGATGGGGAAGAAGCCTGCCTTCCACGCATGCCCCTCTCCAGAGCCGAGGGTGGACACGGCTCACAGAGCCAAGCGGGTAGACCAGGCGTGGGCGTCCAGCCTTGAAATGCCATGCCCCTGACCGCCAGGACGCGGGCGTCGTCAGAGCAGAAGAGAGGTCCTCAGGTGGACAAGGCAGCACAAGTGCCCGAACGGCCCCTGCTCCGCACCGAGGCCCAGCGGCAGGTGTTATTTCCAAAGCCCCACACAGCTTCTGGTGACTCACGGAGGTCGCCGCTCCCCCTCCACCCTTCCCCACCTTCGACGCTGGGCTCCAGGAGAAAGGCCGCCAAGGACAGTGCAGACTCGGCCCACAGCTGCGGCCTCCCCCAGGTGGCGACCTGGCTTTGGAGCTATTTCTGGCCCTGCCAGCCCCGCAGAGGCTCTTCTCAGTCACCACATGCAAGGACCCTTTGTGCCCGCCCAACAAGCCAATGCGCCAGCCTCCCACGAAGCCTGAACCCCCCGCCAGGGATGCATCTCTGCTGCAAAGCTCCCTTTGCTCTTTTTGCTTCCAGAGAAGCTGCCTTACTCCTCCCTGTCTGTCTGAAGAACTTTATTGTCTTCCGAGTGGAGCATTTAGCGCTCTCCACTGACCCACAGAGCCGCGTGCACTGCCAACTGGTGAATAGAACTGTGAATATTGTAAGTATCTAGTTAGCTCGAGGGTGGGCGTGAGTTACAAGAGGGTGAGCAATGCTGCAAAGAGACGTTGAGTAAACCTCCAAGGGTTCTTTTTTTTTTTTTTTTTTTAAACCGTCACAGAAGGAAAGTGTGGGACTCCCCGGGAAGGCAGAGTTGCCTCGGTGATCCCCAGGTCCTCAGGACAAGCTTCCCTGGGTCGCTTTACTTTTTCGGAAGCACTCTAGGCAGGAGACCTCCTTTGGAAAGCGTCCCAGGGCCCGATGACACCTTGACCCACCACCTCTGTAGAGCAATGGGTTTGAGTCTGTAAAGCAGTGGTTTCTGGGCAAGGCCTATGCGAGGGCTCAACCCAGGTTCTGGGCCCCCAGCATAGCGCCCTTTCCCCAGCTGTCTCCAGGCCCCTTCACCAGCTGGCAGAGGAGGGAGGAATTCGGCCCAGTCAGTCCCCGGCACCACCACCTCTGCTGGGGCCCCAAGCAGGCGTCGCCCGCTTGCTCCCTGCCCTCTGGAACCTGAGTCTGCCAGCCTTGCCCGGTGGCCCCCGTGGTACACCCTGTGCATCTTTGGGAACTCTGTTATCCAGCAAGCCACTTGGGGTCAAGCACACACTGCAAACCAGGAAGAAAATTCTAGGACAAGGCTCCAGGAAGGCTGTTGTGGCCGAGCTCAGAGTAACCAGGCAACTGAGTATAATAGCCGGAGGCTCCCCTGACCGAGTGCACTGGCTTTGTATGTTGCATGTGCGGCACAGGCACATTGTCTCATCCCAACCAGCGGCAGCCCATGCACATCGGGCGGGAGGCTTGCAAGCCCCGCCCTGACGCTTCGAGCGTTTACTGAGCTCCGGCTGTGCCAGGGAGCCTGTGATCCAACAGGCAGGCCAGTCCTGGTCCGGCAGCAGGGATGCCGCACGGGGAGTGGGACCTAGCCGTCCGCCCCGGGCATGAGCCCCGTGAGCTGGCAGTCTCCCCGCCTGGGACGTTTCATCAGCCGCACCGTCCCAGACAGTAAATGTCCCTCCTTCTGAAAGTGCCGGTAGCATCTAAACCTCCGGGCATGATGATCCAGTGTTTTTCAAAGACTCTTCCGCCACACGGTAGAGAGAAGCAAGGGGTGGACGAAGGCTGATGAGGGCAGACGGGAAGTCAAGGACTCGGACGCGTCCCGAATGCAGGGGTCCTCCCAGGCGCTGTGGCGTGCACTTTCATGTGTAGCTGTCCACAGCGCCCACGTCACAGCACCGGCCACGTGGTCCCCTAGGCCCTGATGTTCCTTCTGGAAGGGCAGCCTCTTGGCCTCGATAAAAACGATTATCAGCTCCTAAAAGCATGAATTGCATGTGTAATATTTAATCCTCCAGGGAGACTAGGATGTAGGAGGTAGGAAGCCATATGACAGGCAGGAAAGCTGAGGTTCAGAGGGATGAAGCCACTGGCCCAGGGTCTTCCATGCTGGGCGGAGCTGGGACCCGGTGTCATCTGACTCTGAAGCCCGCGTGTTCAGCACCTTCTCCCTCCCTCCATTCGTATACCCCCTGATGCTGAGGGCCAGCACCCTCAAGGGAGAGCACCTGTCACCTCTCACCCAGCCCCAGCGGCGCCCCAAAGAAAAGGACTCGTCAGCGACATGTTGGAAGATCAGGAGGCTGTTCCTGACATCTCCTGGGAAGGAGCTCAGGTGAAAGGGGCTCGCGCCAGCCCCCAGAGGAGCAGCGGCCATGCCCACAGCCGCGTTCTCCCTGGGCAGGCGGCCGGGGGTTCCTGGCCCGCTGTGCCCATCCCCTTTGGCCGAGAGGCCGCCATCAGCCCCTGCAACTGCACTTAGAAGCCTCCGCCACCTCCGTTCTTCACCCAGACCAGGCTGGTCGTGGAGGCAGGAGGAAGAGCGACCTGGAGGGGAAGGAACGCGAAGAGCAGACTTGCCGCCGGACGCCAGAATACCCCCTTTTCCCATCCATACGCCTTTAATTCCCCCTTCCCCAGCCCGCCACCACTTTGTACTTTTGCAGTTGCAGCTGTTTTTATTTGCCGCCACTGCTGTTGCTTTAAAAGGTCTATTTTCACATGGAATGTTATCCAATTAGCAGAGCAATGTGTTGGCTTAAATAAACACTTGGGGGGAGCCGGCAGTGGGGAGACGTGATGGCGGTCGGCGTTGGCAGGCAGAGCTATTCCCACTGTGGTAAACAACCGCAGCTTTAATTGTAGGGTCGCACCAGTTAATGTCGCCTTTCTCGTGTCTCACTTTTGCACACTGCAGGGGGAGGGGCGGGGGGAGCAGTGTGGTCACAGGGCCAGGCCCACTCCCGAGGGGGCGGTGCTGGGCGTTTTGGAGGGGCTTCTGTGAGGCCTCTCTGTGCCCACGGCCCTCACCGGGCGCTTTCCACCAAAACAAGTTGTGGTGGGCAGAGGTGACGATGAGGGAGCCCGACGAAGCCTCTTAAGCCGCGCTGGGCAGTGGTGCTGCGCCGTCAGCGCTGATCGCCATCAGATCATCGGTGGCGAGCGTGCAGCACGCACACCGGCTTCGCGGAGTGCAAGGCAGGCCTCGAGTACAGACTCTGCGGGGGCCTGTGGGGGGCGGCCGGGGTCTGCAGGGGCGGTCTGTCCCGGTGATGGAGGAATCCGCAGCACATGGCCCTGCAGCCGGTGTTCAGAACAG